AGCCTGCTTCGGATTCTGTGTCTCCCTCTCTCGCTGACCCTCCCGCCTTCATGCTCTGTCTCTCTCTGTCTCAAAAATAAATAATAAATATTAAAAAAATTTTAAAAATATATTCATTGGATAATTAACCAGATAGTCAGGCAGCTCCATTCCCAGTCAAATGCTCCAAAGGAAAATAGCATTCATCTGCTTTTAGTAACGGGATGTTCCTGCTGTTCCATCTTTAGGAACTGGGAAGTTCAATAACAATTTCATGATTCTGATTTTTAAAAAATAAATCATTAATCATAATGTTTGGCCTTTATCCTAATCACAGATGTACATTTATTCATCAATTCTTAGCAATATGTTTAGAAAACTATGATACACTGAAACATCTTCCGAAATGGTTGGTGTTTTGTTTTGTTTGAGTGTCATCGACACACAATGTTACATGAGTTTCAGGTGTACAACTTAGTGATTTGACAAGTTTATACTTGTTTATACTTCATGCTTCTATTCACCACAAATGTAGCTACCATCTGTCCTGACGCTTTGCTGTTAATATCATTGATTTTGCTCCTTATGCTCGGCTTTTTATTCATGTGACTTACCCATTCCATAACTGGAGGCCCATATCTCCCTCTCCCCTTCCCCCATTTTGCCCGGCTCCCTACCCCCATGCCCATCAGCAACCATCAGCTCTCTCTAGTTAACAGTTCTGATCCTGTTTTTTGTTTGTTGATTTTTTTTTTTTTTTTAGATTCCACTTATGAATGGAATCATATGGTATTTGTCTTTCTCGGTCTGATTTATTTCACTTATCATAATACCATCTTGGTTCTTCCATGTTGTCTGAAATAGCACGATCTCATCCTTTTTATGGCTGTGTAATACTCCACACACACACATACATATATATACACACACACACACACTTTTACTTTATTCATTTGTCTATTCACGGACACTTAGGTTGCTTCCATGTCTTTTTTTTTAATGTTTATTTCTTTTTGAGAGAGAGAGAGAGAGAGAGAGAGAATGAGCGGGAGAGGGCCAGAGAGAGAGGGAGACACAGAATCCGAAGCAGGCTCCAGGCTCTGAGCTGTCAGCACAGAGGTCCAAACTCACAAGCCATGAAATCGTGACCTGAGCTGAAGTTGGATACTTAACCGACTGAGCCACCCCGGCACCCCACCATGTCTTGGCCATTGTAAGCAGTGCCACAATAAATATAGGGGTGTATGTATCTTTTCGAGCTAGCGTTGTTGTTTTCCTTGGGTGAATACCCAATAGGGGAATTACCGGATCATATGGTATTTCTATTTTTAGTTTTTTGAGGACCCTCCATACTGTTTTCCGGAGTGGCTGTACCAGTTTGCATTCCCACCAGCAGCGCACGAGGGTTCCTTTTTCTGTGCATCCTCTCCAACACGTGTTGTTTCTTGTCTTCTTGATTTTAGCCACCCTGACAGGGTATGAGGTGGTATCTCATTGTGGTTTTGATTTCCCTCATGAGGAGTGACACTGAGGACCTTTTCAGGTGTCTGTTGGCCATTCGTGTGTCTTCTTTTTACAAGGCACTGGACACAAATTGCCTTTACAATTTTCAATCACTTTACGTTCTCATTTCTGTTGCAGTGTGAGCCCTGGGGCTTCTGCCTGGCTTTTTAATCCCTCCTCCAAGGATGATCATTGGGTGCATCATCCACCCCCCTCCCACCATCCCCCCGACCCCCCAGCCCAGCTCCCTAATTCCCAATTTGATTGTACTGCATGAAATGGTTGGTTTATGTGATCATGATAGTTCTCATGCTGGACAAAAACTACCAAGACATCAAGTTTGTTAAAAAATTGATGTGAGGATTGTTTTCACGGTGCCAGAAATTATATGTCAACTCTTTAAGTGTAGTAGGCTCCCTTTCAAATGAAATTAAAGAGAGGAAGCCAAGCAGGACTTGGTATTTGTCCTTCATGCTTGAAACGAAGGGCAGGAAATCACACGCAGAGCTGAGCACAGTTACAATGTTGGTGGATGTTTAGGAGGAAGCTTGGATTTCTGGTTCTGTGTTTCGGTCACCCACACTTCGCTCTTTTCTGCCGCCTTGTCTGCTCGCCACCACCCCTACCCATTCATTCTCGTTCTAACCCTGAGGTTAGGATGGGCCCATCAGCTAACAAAGATGTACTTGACTGCTATTTTTGTGCCAGATACTGACCTAGTTTCTGGGGAGAAAGCAATAAAAGTCCCATTCCCTGCCCGTAAGGGACTCACAGTACAGTAGGAGATAGAGATAAATAGATCATTCAAATACTGTGCCTGAGAAAGACATGTGACAAGAGGTAGGAGAAAATGTGCATTTCTCCACCTTGACCGGTGGTGTCCTGCTAGAGAATGTTCAGGAAGAGGCATACTGATAATGCTTTACTATAAGCTTGCAATACAATACATATACATTTAGGCGGGCCGAAATGTTTATTTTATTTTAATATTTACTTTACCTTTTTAAACTGTTTTCAGCTGAGCCACCACGAATCCTTACATCTGCAAATACACTCTATCAGGTCATTGCAAACAGGCCTGCTTTACTAGATTGTGCCTTCTTTGGGTCTCCTCTTCCTACCATTGAGTGGTAAGTCGTGGCTCTGTTTATTTTTATTTACTTATTTATTTTGGGAGAGTGAGTGAGAGCAGGGGAGGGGCAGAGGAAGAAGGAGAGAAAGAATCCGAAGCAGGCTCCATGCCCAGTGCAGGCCCGATGAGGGGCTCGATCTCATGACCCTAGGATCATGATCTAAGCCGAAATCAAGAGTTAGACGCTTAACTTACTGAGCCAGCCAGGCAACCGTCTGTTTGTTTTTAATATTTACATTGACTGAAGCCTTCAAATCTCTCTGTGTGTTGGATTTTCATTTAGTCAGAGAACGGACAGTGCAGATTCCATCATACTATTATTATGAAATTCATTCATAAACAGGTATAACTACTTGCTGTGTGCTAAATGCCTAACACATGTCCAGTCTGTTTAGCAGCACACTTTGTCAACCACAGAGGTATCTGGAAATGCACTTTTTTAGGTTTATTTTTTTATTTATTTTGAGAAAGAGAGACAGAGAGAAAGTGGGGGAGGGGCAGAGAGAGAGGGAGACAGAATCCCAAGCTGGCAGCACAGAGCAACACGGGGTTTGAACTTACAAACCATGAGATCATGACCTGAGGTGAAGTCAAGAAGTGGACGCTTAACCGACTGAGCCACCCAGGTGCCCCTGGAAATGTATTTTTTAGAAATTGAAGGTCCTCCCGTATGTTACACGGACATCACCTGGGACTTCACAAGGAATGCTGGCTGGAGAGCTGGTTGGGGACATTCCTTGATAATAGAATATCATTTGGGGTCAGAGAGAGGTCCTATAAGCTCAAAAACAGAATTCATTCCCCAGTGTTCATTTTTAGTGCCCCTCCCACCCGAGCTTCCTGATTTGGATCCATTCACGCTCACTGGTACCCTTTTACCGGTGTCCTGGTGAGGTCACGCTTAGCTTAGGTTGACTTTGCCTCACCCCTTTTATCAGTCCCCACTTCTGTATGACGATAGCCTGGAAGTTGAATGGACACATACTTTGCATCCATGCTCTATTGTCTTTCTTCCCCGAATAAGTTCTTATTGATACGAATCAAAAGTCTCTTTAGAATTCAAATCAATCTTCCAATCGAGATCACTTTAGAATTGTAGCCTGTAGATGGGCTTACAGATAACTCCCAGTAGGGAGGAGATGTCAGAAAGCTCAGTCTTCATTTTGCCTGTTTTATCGTCTATTTAGAGGTAGAATAGATAGTGATGTATTTATGAAATATGAATCTCTGATACTGAAAATTAGAATTTGAGTATTTTGCGTTGTCAGCCTAATGCTTCCACACCATTTCTCATTAAATCTTCCCGTTTTACATCCTGCCTTACATTGACCCCACTGACTTACAGGCACGCAATTCCGAATGTCTTGTGCAGATTCCAAACGTCTCTGAACTTGATACTACAATGCAGACCATCATGTGTTGACCTCGAATGTAGCATTTTATGTCTGACTTCAAATTATGGGTTTTTTATTCCCTTTGTGATACTCTCTGTAATGAAGGTTCAAGGGAGCTAAGGGTAGCGCGCTCCGTGACGATATTTATGTTTTGCATGAAAATGGAACTTTGGAAATTCCTGTGGCCCAAAAGGACAGTACAGGAACTTACACGTGTGTTGCAAGGAATAAATTAGGAATGGCAAAGAATGAAGTTCACTTAGAAATCAAAGGTAAGGCAGAGGTGATGAAGCTTTTTCACGTATTATGTGGCTTTGAGCAAATTCTTCAGCTTTGGCGATGGATAACGGAAGTTAAATTTCAGATCCAACCAGGATCATTAAGCAGCCTGAATATGCAGTAGTGCAAAGAGGGAGCACGGTGTCCTTTGAATGCAAAGTGAAACACGATCACACCTTGACCCTCACCATCACGTGGCTGAAGGACAACGGTGAGCTGCCCAGTGACGGAAGGTATTTGAAGACCATTTCTTTCCTTTCTCTTCTTTGTCTCTTTAAGCGGCTTTGAACTAAAGGTTTATTGTAGAGTGACTTAGCAGAGATGTTTCTAAAGTGTCTGAAATCTGCTCTCTCCAAGAAAAAAAAAAAAGTATGTTTTTCTCCCCGCTGCAAGATGCTTGGACCTAAGAAGGCATCGAGTTATTGAAATAGACCCTGAGAATGTTTGTTGTATCTTTGCGTGTTGGTCTCCTGGGCAATTCAGGACAGGAAAAACCTTTCAGGCCTTGGATAACTTCCATTGTCTTCTACTGTGTGCAGTGAAGTCTCGACAGATGTTTTCATTACCATTCTACAAATAAGCAGAAATACGATCGCTTTAATCAGCAGAGTGTGTCTAAATCCTTGTCGGTATTTTAAAGGACACTGGTTTTTATGTGGAGAGGGAATTTTCTTTTGCTTTCACCTAAAGCCAGTAGAAAGAGAAGGGGTGGGGGGAGGGGAAACCCACAGGTATCTAAAAGAGCCTGAGCAGTCCTTGAGCCTGGAATGAAATCAAACTCATACCTGTCTTCCTGGTGAAGCGTCAATTTGACAGAATGGGTGCTGAGCTGACTCTGTGAATCCTAGCTGGCCCAGGGGCCACAAGCATCGCCCCCTACGGGAAGAAATGCTGTGTGCTGGTGGGAATGCTTTCTGTGGTTTGCTTGCAAATGTGCCCAAACAGTGCCTGTCGCTTAATGGCCCCCCCAAAAAACCCAGGTGGCCTTCTCTTCTATACCCAGAATTTCCATGTAATTCTATGCTTCCAGCTGGCCAGTTTTATTTGTGGAATCTGAGTCGCTAAAGATGAGAAGAAAGTAGGAGGAAATGACTGTCGCGTTAAGCTGGCTAAAGTTTTAACTTGGAAATGCCCTGCAAAGACAGTTAGTGATTTATGGAGCCTCCTCAAAACCATGCATGAATCCAATTTACATGGATTTTTGACCTACTAATTTCTCATGCCAGCTAGTAACCTCTCGAGAACTCTTCCTGGTGCTTGTTGGTCTCAGTCTCCCTATTTCTTGTGATAAAGTGGATACCATTCTTGGCATTTACTTTCTCCTATGAGAGTTTATGCATGTGGCAAAAATGGCAGAAAATTTCTTCGGTAAGTGATAAATTTTTTTTTTTAATTTTTTTTTCAACGTTTATTTATTTTTGGGACAGAGAGAGACAGAGCATGAACGGGGGAGGGGCAGAGAGAGAGGGAGACACAGAATCGGAAACAGGCTCCAGGCTCTGAGCCATCAGCCCAGAGCCTGAGCGGGGCTCGAACTCACGGACCGCGAGATCGTGACCTGGCTGAAGTCGGACGCTTAACTGACTGCGCCACCCAGGCGCCCCAATTTTTTTAATATTTATTTATTTTGAGAGAAAGAGAGAGAGAGCACAAGTGGGGGAGGGGCAGAGAGAGAGAGAGAGAGAGAGAGAGAGAGAGTCCCAAGCAGGCTTCACACTGTCAGCGCAGAGCTTGATGTAAGGCTCGATCTCACAAACCGTGAGAAATCAAGAGTCAGATGCTCAGTTGACTGAGCCACCCCGGCACCCCAATAAAGTATTTAAAAATACACACTTTGTTAGAAATTGAGCCGGATGGGTGGTGTTTGAATGTTTCTTAGCAGCAGAAGCCGCGGGAAGGCCCACTAGTAAGGGTCACTGCAGCTGCCCCCACCTCACCTCTGGGTGCCCCTGGTCTTTAAGGAAGTGCCTAAAACTGCAGAAGGGTGCTTGATAAGCCTTCAGACCAGACAACTTGACATCCCTTCCAACCCAGGGTTCTAATCCCCTCTGTCTTCCAACTTTAAGCTTTATCAAAGTGATACATATTTTTTGGATTTTTGCTCTAATGAGCTGCAAATCTATATCATCTTTCTCTCTTTTTTAAAAATATTTATTTATTTATTTTGAGGGAGACAGAGAGCATGAGCAGGGAATGGGGAGAGAAAAGAGACAAAGAATCCCAAGCAGGCTCCGCACCATCAGCACGGAGCCCAATGCGGGGCTCGATCCCACGAACCATGGGATCATGACCTGAGCTGAAATCCAGAGTCAGACGCTCAACCACCTGAGCCACCCAGCCGCCCCATCTTTCTGTTTTTCACTTCACAGAGCCTCTTCCGTGCCGGCAACGCAACCATCCGTCGTGTGTGGCTGGATGTCCGTTTCAGCTGCTCTGAACATGTTTTCTTTGCAGGTTCACTGTTGACAAGGACCATTTGGAGGTAGCTGATGTGAGGGACAGCGATGGTGGGGCCTACACATGCGTGGCCAACACAACTCTAGACATGGTCTCCGCCAGTGCTGTGCTTAGCGTCGTCGGTAAGAGTGGGGACACACAGGGCACCACTGCTGCCCCGTGTTAGGCTGGAAGGAAAACTCAGTAGTAAATGTTTGCTTGATATAGTGTCACAGTTGTGTGGGTCAGTTAAATATGTCCATTTTTCTTCTTTGAAAGATGCCTTGAAGGCAGTAATTTCAGTGTAAATATACCAATGTAGCGGCGCTGGAATAAAATGATGCTTGCGCATATTAGTGATACTTTTATAAGAAAATTGGGTGAAATAATGTACTTCTATTTAAAATTGAAGGACTTCCCCTCCCCGCCCCCGCCAAGTTGTGACTGCATGTTTACGGATGCTGTGTCCCACAGCTAAGCGCACAGCTTAGCGTTAGAATCTGAATCATGTTCAGTCTTTGTCTTCTTGTGCTATCTTATATCTTTCCATTCCTAATTTTGATTAAAATCCTTTATATTAATGTCCTTTCTAGCTCCTACTCCAACTCCAGCTCCTATTTACGGTAAACTAATATGAGTCTTCTTTCTCTATTTTCTGTCAAACAAGTCCACATTTGCAAAAAAAAAAAAAAAAAAAAAAAAAAAAAAAAAAAAAAAATACTTTCTTTTCTCTATCACATCATTGTGTTTCTTTAAGGAAAAGGGCTCTGTCTGGTGTTCTGGTGCATTCCCCATTCACTGCTATGAATCATTTCTTCATGATAGCTCTGGAATGCTTCACTGAATGTATTACCGCTCATGTCTAAATATTTCATGTGTTGTTCTTTTTTTAAAAAAAAATTTTTAACATCCAGTTTTTAAAATTTTTTTTTGAATGTTCATTTATTTTTGAGAGAGAGACAGAGACAGAGCATGAGCAGAAGAGGGGCAGAGAGAGAGGGAGACACAGAATCTGAAGCAGGCTCCAGGCCCTGAGCTTTCGGCACAGAGCCCGACACGGGGCTCAAACCCGTGAACCGTGAGATCCTGAGCTGAGCCGAAGTCAGATGCTCAACCGACTGAGCCACCCAGGCTCCCCTTTCATGTGTTATTCTAAAGTCATCTCAATTGATAGAAGTCCCTCTTTGATATGATTCCCTTGTAAAGTAGCAGAGTGCTTTTTCAAAAGCTGCCATCCACGTTTTACAGAATGAAAACAAATATCTCAAATACCATTCCACAAATTAGGTTTTGATTTCAGTCTACTCCAATTTGTTTTGGAAACATAAATGTTTTGGGATTCCATATTCGAGAAATTTTCATAGGAAAACAATGGCTGTTTGGAACAACATTTGACTATTGTCTTAGAGAAAACCAACTCACTGTGTTTAAGAAACATAAATCACTAAAGGAGGACCAACATGAAGGCACTTCCAAGTTGTGTGATTTTTCCGAGTCTGGAAAATAAATCAGAAATTATTTCCAGAACTCTTTTTGATTAAAGAACCCTCATCTTTAGTCAGCATATAAATACAAAAATTAATTTTACAGCATAAACTCAGCTGAATTTCACAGAGTATCCTTAGTTATGCTGTAGAACTGCCCTTGGTAGACATTTACTGTTTCTTTACTGGTGGGAAAGCAGTGCCCATAGTTTTATGGCCTCTGGTTCCCCAAGGGCTACAATCACGCCCAAGAGCAAGGTCAGGAAAGAGCCCAGAGGGGAATGTAAATTCTCTGGATCTCGGAAGTACCTTTAGAAGAAACGGACATGCTTCTGGGACACCTTCATCCAACAGGTGTCTGTACCCTAGTGTCCTCTGAGGGTAAACACACCGTGTCCCCATGTGCCTGACCATTGTACTGAGTATCTGCATGAGGTACACATGCTGAGGGCTACTTACAGAGCAGCAATCTTAGAATTCCCTTAAAAACATAAATATTCTCCAGGAGCTCCAAAATCGATCACTTCCCGCGTTTCCGAAAGAACATTTAAGCCTTCTTAATCAGCAGTCCCTGTGCTTGACTGTATTTGTGTTTCAGCATTTGCCATTCTCTGTTTCCCATTTATTAGAAATGAAGCTTCAGTGTTATTTTTTCTGTCTGCGCTCCTTCATGTTTGTGAGAAGACACACCGAGGGTGCTGGTGAACCACGTAGGCCCTCCCCACTGGTTTTGGTCACACGTGATTCGGTTTCATTGGGAAAAGAAGCAAGCAGAACTCATTGATGGGTTGTCCTGGGTGTGCTTGTGTGTTCCCAGCAACCTCGGCTGTTGGCACTTCATTTCCGTTGCATGCTCCTTGACCGTTAAGTGTGCTGTGTCTTTAAGATGCACCCCCTGTGAATGGTGTTACAAGTAAGTAAAAGACAACCTCATAAGGATGGATGGCTAACCGTGTGTGTATGTTCGGTCTACAGATGTCCCAAATCCTCCCTTTGATTTAGAATTGACGGATCGACTCGACAAAAGTGTTCAGCTGTCGTGGACCCCAGGCGATGACAACAATAGACCTATTACAAGTATGTGGTGTCATTTTCTTTGTCACTGGTCAATTTCACGACCATTTCTGAAGTACTTTATCACGTGGATTAAAATTCCTTACAGAGATATTTGTTGGCATTCTCTGCTTCATTACTAATAGAACAGAAACCTTTATTTATATAGCTCCCCTCTCTTCAGAGCCTGAGTTATTCCTGGTTACAGCTTCTGGTAGAAGACGTTACTTAATTGCTGATGATGTTAACTAACTAAGCAAATACACTTTCATTTTGTGTATGAGATCCAAAAGAATCACTGTAGATTTGGGGCGCCTAGGTGGCTCAGTGGGTTAAGCGTCCGACTTCGGCTCACGTCATGATCTCAGTTTGTGAGGTTTGAGCCCTGCATTGGGCTCTGTGCTGACAACTCAGAGCCTGGAGCCTGCTTCAGATTCTGTGTCTCTATATCTGCCCCCCCACTCACACTCTTTCTCTGTCTCTCTCAAACATAAACATGAAAAAAAAAAAGAAGAATCACCGTAAATTTCCACCATAGTAGGAAGATGTACGCTACTCATTTTGCCTATTAATGTGGGAGAAAAAGGTAGGAGGACCAGGCACCGTCCTGCCAGTGTGCATATTAGGAAACTGAGATTTGGTGAGTAAAGTGACTTTTTAGACCCACAGTTGGTAACAGAGCTGGGTGTGGACATTAAGTCCATCACCTTCCAGTACGGGCCTCTTTCTTCCCATCAGCCCCTGCTACGAAGAGGCTCATTCCACAGTGTCCAATCCTCACCGCGATGATGCTAGCCTGGGGAGTTAAAGTCAAAGGAGGAGCCACACTATAAGGACACTGGAAGAACTTAATAAAATTAGACTCTAGATGTGCTTAGAAGTTTTAGAACTGAAGAGATACTTCAGAGAGTATCACAGGCCTGTGATATATTATTACCTTCAGGTATATGCTGCAGGAAAACTAAATTCCTTTCTGATGACTACCCCCAGATTACTCTGAAATGATGTGAGTGTTGACATATTGCACCTGCTGGTAAAACAGACTATTTCCAGTGCAATTCAACAGAAGCCTCCTCTCTATCTTGTGTTATTTAATGGTGTTTCTTTCTTAACTGAGTTTTTAGTCCTTGACCAGAATACTCATCCATTCATGCTGAGTCTTCCAGTTAATTAAATACAGTAGCTGGATTTAGCCACTTAGGATGCTTGCAGACTCTTTGTACCAATGTTAAAGTGAGACCATTAGATTTCAAAGCATTTCTACTCTTTCATTCATCCACTCATTCATTCATTCAATAGATATTGATTGACTGCCTATTATGAATCAGGCACTGTTTTACAGCAACATAGTCAAAAATCTCTGCCCATATGGAGCTTGTATTTTAGCAGAGGGAACAGAAATGATGTAAAATTAATAATATATATCATGTTGGATGTAATATGATTGTATGTGTATGTACATATGTAAAATGCAATACACATTGTATATGTGTATGTATATACACACACATATATATGTATAGAACACACACACACACACACACACACACACACACACACTACTCAGACCTTCCTTCAGGAAAGAACCTGCCACAAGGAGTGTTGACATCAGGCTCCTTCAGCTGCACCTTCCCCAAGGATCTGCTTCAGTATGCATGAGAGGCCATGGTCTTCCTGAGCCGCTGCAGCAACCAAGGGGTGGACTGTGAACCGTGCAGGTCTTGCAGGCCATTGTAAGGGCTGGGAAGTCATGGGAGGGAGTTAAGTAGAGGAGTGGAGTGAATCATGGTGGCTCTTCTACTGAAGATGGTCTCTAGAAGAACAAGAGGGGACGCAGGGAGACAGGTAGGACTGCAGTTCTCCATGAAGTACCCCGTAGAACCTCAGCAAACTCAAAGGGTGCCTCGGGGTATTTTTTTTAATTTTTGATTTTTAAATTTTGATGTTTAAAAAACACAGTCAGGGCGCCTGGGTGGATCAGTCAGTTGAGCCTCCGACTCTTGATTTTGGCTCAGGTCATGATCTCAGGGTCATGGGATCGAGCCCCATTTCAGGCTCCATGCTAAGCATGGAGCTTGCTTCAGATTCTCTCTCTCTCTTTCCCTCTGCCCCTCCCCAACTTGCTCACTCTTAAAGATAAAAATAAATCAATTTAAAAAACACAGTCACATGTGTTACACACCACACGAAATACTAGCTTGGGGCCGCCTACAGTTCCAACATGATATTGCTGTATCATATTGTGATGATGCCATGTATGCAAAGCCTTTATCGCTGTGGTAAAAAGCCAGTACCACGTGAAAATCAGTGTGTAACAGAAAATGAGGAAGGTGGTGACCAGTCTCTTCACAAGGTTCAAGAAGTCACGCGATGCCGAATGGGTTGTTAAGACATGAATATTTACGAAGCTGTATAGACCTAACTACTTGCCTGGAAATGTTAGATATTTCTTTTGGCCTAAGGGAACCGTGAAGAAAATTACTGAGACACTAAGTGCACTATGAACTGAGGAAATTTGGGAACTCGTGAGTTGGAAGGTTACGCAATGATTCACACAAGAGATAATGGTGGCTTGGCATAGGCCAAGAGGGTGGAGGTGCTGAAAAATGGTCAGATTTTGCATGTTCTAAAGGTACAGCCAACAAAACTACTGAAACTATGAAGGGAGAGGATCCAAACTGGACTTCAGGGTTTTGACCTGAGTTGTCACTGCCACTTGGGGAGGAGAATCAGGATCACTCTTGGTCATAACCAGTTTGTTATAATAGAGAAACAAGTGGAGTTGTTGAGTCAATGAACTATCTGTCCAAGTCTACAGTTCAGGGGAAGGAGAGGGGCTGCCCATATAAATGGCACCAGTTCATGAGACTGGAGATCACCAGCAAGCCAATGGAGATTGAAAGGAAAACTTGAGCTACTTAGCTTCAGAGAACTGCGACACACAACATTTCTACTTCGTGCTTGTATCTGTAATTCAGATCACGGCACATGGCACATTCATAGGCAATTAATAAATATCTAAATACCGATTTTTTTACCAGGGTAGAACATGTACATGCCCCAAAATTTTAGTAAATGCAAAAGGATATGCACTTAAAAGTAAGTCTTCTGCACCCCTCTGATTCCCTATTTCTCCATGATACTGATGTCATCAGTGTGGGTACTCTGAGGGGCAGTACACGTATAGTCAAGCATATATGCATGTGTATGTGTTACGGTAAATCTTTGTGCTCTTACATAAGTGTTCCACACCTTTCTATACCCTACTTGGTTACGCTTAACTGTGTATTTTAGAAATCATCCCATTTCAGTGGCAAATGGAGTACCCCCATTCATTTTTAACAGTTGCAGATTATTCCATTGTGTGGATGCACCGTAATTTATTTGATCAGGGTCCTATTGGTGAACGTTTAAGGCTTTGCACTTAGGTTGTTTCAACAGCAAACAGTGCCACAATGTGGATCCTTTTTCATGTGTCTGTGAGCATATGCACGAGTACATTCATTCAAAACAAATTGCTAGGAGTACAATCTCTCAATCAAAGGATATCGGAGTTGAATATTATGAGATATTCTAAATTGTCCTCTACAGAAGTTGTGCCGATTTACACTTCCCAGAACCAAAGTATGAGAATGCTTGTTTCCCTGTGTAATAGTCAACAAAGTCTGTTAAACTTTTGATTACTGCCTATCTGTTTAGTGGAAAGTGATCTCTCACTATATTTATTTTAAATTTTTTTAATGTTTCTTTATTTTGGGGGGGGGAGGGGCAGAGAGAGAGGCAGACACAGAATCCAAAGCAGGCTCCAGGCTCTGAGCTGTCAGCACAGAGCTGGAAACTCGAACCCACAGAAACTGTGAGATCATGACACAGGCACAGTCAGACTCTTAACCAACTGAGCCACCCAGGTGCCCCGCATTATATTTATTTTAATTTCTCCTGTTATGAAAAAAAAAAAAACCTGACCATCTTTCCATATACTTAAACTTTCCAAAGGATGTGTAGACCACTTCTAAATAGTTTTAAGTAACTAAATTAAGCATGCTGGAGAAAGAATACCAAATATTATTGGTTATTGGGTATTGAGGATAATGATAGAATTCTTTTTTTTTTTTAATTTGTTTTTTTTTCAACGTTTATTTATTTTTGCGACAGAGAGAGACAGAGCACGAACAGGGGAGGGGCAGAGAGAGAGAGGAGACACAGAATGGAAACAGGCTCAGGCTCAGGCCATCAGCCCAGGGCCTGGCCGGGGCTCGAACTCGCAGGACCTTGAGATAGTGACCTGGCTGAAGTCGGACGTATTTCATCACCAAACTAATAAATGGGAATTCTTAAATCAAACTATTCTAATGGAATTTTTCTTGAAAGGGAAATAACTCATGTTCAGCTACTCTTGTTAGATTGTCCTGTCCAGTGTCCTAGCAACCTACCGTTGCATGACTGACCTCATTGTCTTGGGTTCTGTGTGTGTGTGTGTGTGTGTGTGTGTGTGTATGTATTGTGGCCAGAATTCATCATTGAATATGAAGACGCAATGCATGAGGCAGGACTGTGGCACCACCAAACCGAGGTTTCTGGAATGCAGACCACAGCCCAGCTGAAGCTGTCACCTTATGTGAACTACTCCTTCAGAGTGATGGCGGTGAACAGCCTCGGGAGGAGCCTGCCCAGCGAGCCATCTGAACAGTATTTGACTAAAGCTGCAGGTAGGTAAAGGCAGGAGCAGGGGGTGGGGGGTGCCTTCTGTGATGGGAAATAAAATAGGAAACCTTTCCACTGTTTGAGAAAGACTGAAGCTTACACATATGTGACTGCTTAACTTCTAGAACCAGATACAAATCCCACGGCTGTGGAAGGACTAGGATCCGAGCCTGATAATTTGGTGATTACCTGGAAGGTGAGCTCACCATGAAGTCTTCAACTTTCCTTGGTGTATTTTAGAGTGAAAGAAAAAAAAGTTGTTTTTAAACAATGTCTATATTGAAATCCCATATCACCCATTTTGGGGAAAAATATTTATTTAAGAAACATTATTGTGTCGTAGTTAAAGGCTTGATTCTTGGAGCCAGAACGAGTGGGCACAAATCCCAGCTTTGTCACTTATTAACTGTGTGACTCTAAGCCAGTTGCTTACCATCTCCATTGTGTATCTGTATCGTGGGACTAGTAATAGAACCAACCTCATACAATTGAAGGAATTAATACATATAAGGCCCTTAGAACAGTGCCTAGCACAAATGTGTGCTCAATAAATGCTAGCTAGTATCATCATCGTCATAGAGAAGCATCTAGAAGACGTGTACCAAGTTATTCCCAGTACTCAACTTCTACTTCTGCTGCTGGTTGTTGTTGTTGTTTTTGTTCTTCTTCTTCTTCTTTTATCTCTCTCTGTCTCTCTCTCTCTCTCTCTTTTGGTTTATCTATATTTTCTGGACTTCAAAAATGAACATATATTCACTTGTGTGATTTTAAAACTTAACTTTGGTAGAGCCATGCAGGCACACCTATATGTATACATACTTGTACATTTATATACATACAGACATGACAGGATAGACTGACACGCCAACTTTTTTTTTTTTAAGATTTTATTTTTAAGTAATCTCTACACCCAACGTGGGACTCAAACCCATAATCCTGAGATTAAGAGTCACATGCTCCTCCCACTGAGTTAGCCAGGTGCCCAGACAAACCAACATTTTTTCGTTTTTTTTTTTTTAATGAAGAAAGAAGTAGTTCACCAGTTTCAGTCTCTTAAGTAAAATAAACAATTATGGGCTGTCACACAAACAGGAATAGACGAAGGAAACTATTAAGTTGTCCACCCTTGACTGTGGAGCCAGAGTTTGAGAGGTTTATGTGTATTTACTACTTCAAGACAGAAATTAATAAGCTTTGTGGGGCACCTGGGTGGCTCAGTTGGTTAAGCATCTGATTCTTGATCTCAGCTTGGGTCTTGATCTTAGGGTCTTGAGTTCAAGCTCCATGTTGGGCTACACCCTAGGCGTGAAGCCTACTTAAAAAAAAAAAAGAAAGAAAGAAAAGAAATTAAGAACCTTTGAAATGTTGATCCCAAACAAGCTTTGAATCTCATCATGAATAAAAAAAAGATAAAAGGTCCCTGGGGAACATTGTTAATAGCTCGGGTTTTAGTGTTTCAGTTTAAGTCTGGGAATTGAATTTTGTGCTACGGGAAAAGGTTGCACAGTCTGTTTTAAAAGCTCTGATTTATTTGGCTTTTCTTGTAGCCCTTGAATGGTTTCGAATCTAATGGGCCAGGCCTCCAATACAAAGTTAGCTGGCGCCAGAAAGATGGCGATGATGAATGGGCATCAGTGGTTGTGGCGAACGTATCCAAATATATTGTCTCAGGCACACCAACCTTTGTTCCATACTTGATAAAAGTGCAGGCCCTGAATGATGTGGGGTTTGCTCCAGAGCCGGCTGTGGTCACGGGCCATTCCGGAGAAGACCGTAAGTGTTTGATGCTATATTTCGTTTATACTTTCATTTATACCAGTGAAACAGACTTACCAAGGTGCAAGCCAAGGCGATTTTCAGAGGGCACTTAGATTGGGAGGGACGGAGGCAGCAACGGTTTTGCTCCACATTCCTGAATTTAAACAGCCTGCTATGTAAAAACTAGGTTCAGAATGTTAAGTGTCACTATTTTAAAAAGGTATGTTATTCTCACCAAGTCAAATGAACAGATATCAAATGAGCTCTCAGTCCTTGATAACCCAGAGACTAGGGCTGGGTCACACTTCAAGCCAAAATTGTTTGGGGCATTTTTGCATGAAATTCAAAATAACACTGATACTTCTACCCCCTGTCCTGTTTTTCCCTAGTCCCAATGGTGGCTCCCGGAAATGTGCGTGTAAATGTGGTGAACAGTACCTTAGCTGAGGTGCACTGGGACCCGGTACCTGTGAAAAGTATCCGAGGACACCTGCAAGGCTATCGGGCAAGTCAAGGCCGATTTTTTGCACTCTTTCCGTAGGAACAGGCCGTCAGCTGGTGCCTGGTGCACTTCTCTTGGTCTGAGGCCTTGAGACTTCTGGTTTATCCCTTCAGGCAGGGCCATATCTAAGGACCCCCGCTACAGCAGAAGCAAAACCTCACTGCATCCAAAGTGAAAAAAAAAAAAAGGTGTTCTCCACTTTTCCCATAGGTGATCTCAAATCCTTCCAACTATTAACATAGGGGCAAAATGGGGGAAACTAAAGTTTAAGAAACTAAAATACAATGAAATGCACCTAGCTTTAAAACAATACTGACTGGGGTGCCTGACTGGCTCAGTCAGTTGAGCACGCGACTCTTGATTTTGGCTCAGGTCATGATCCCACAGTTCATGAGTTTGAGCCCTGCATGTGCCTGCTTATGATTCTCTCTCTCCCTCTCTCTGCCCCTCCCCCCCTTTCAAAATAAATAAATAAATTTTAAAATAATAATAATACTGACCACACATGTCAAACACACTAAATTGTCCAGAAAATAATGTAGGCACATTTAAAAAAAATTTTTTTTAATGTTTTATTTACTTTTACTTTTGAGAGAGAGAGTGTGTGAGTGCGTGGGGCATGGGAGCAGAGAGGGAGACACAGAATCTGAAGCAGGGTCCAGGCTCTGAGCTGTCAGCACAGAGCCCGACGTGGGGCTCGAACCCATGAAATGGTGAGATCATCACCTGAGCTGAAACCAAGAGTCTGACGCTTTACTGACTGAGCCACCCAGGTGCCACTAGGCACATTTTTAAAAAAGCACTCAGATTATACTTAAAAATCATGTAGTCCCAGCTGGGTCATTCTCACGAACATCAGTTATCTTTGTTCTTGGGAGGCACAGAAAAATTGATTCATAAAGGTTTTTGATGGATAGGAGAAAAACTGGCCTCTAGAGATCACTATTTGCACTGAATTTTGGGTTTGCCAGATTCTGTATATATGTTGACTTCTCCTGAAAATGGCTTTAAACTTTTAAGAAGAATTTGAGAGGACTTAATAAATAATTCTGGATTTTTAACCACAGTTAATCAACCCTTGGCTTATCCACCTCTCCAAAACCTGTGCCTGCCATTTAATACCAAACAACAAAAAATGTATTTTTTTTTTCGTGTTTATTTTTGAGAGAGAGAGAGAGAGAGAGAGAAAGAGCACAAGTGGGGAGGGGCAGAGAGAGAGGGAGACACAGAATCCAAAGCAGGCTCCAGGCTCCAAGCTGTCAGCACAGAGTCCAACCCTGGGCTTGAACTCATGAACCGTGAGATCATGACCTGAGCCCAAGTCGGATGCTTAACTGACTGAGCCATTCAGGTGCCCCTAAAAAAAGTATTTTTAATTAAGTGAATCAGTTTGACATAGTGATAAAGGCCTAGACTTGGGAGTAGAGGATCCACTATGGCTTTTGATTGCCCTGTGGCTGGGGACAAGCCACTCAGTTGTCCAGGGCTCATCTGTGCTAAAGGAATAATAATAAAAGCTTCGCTGTGGCTTTGAGGTTTAGATTAAATGATATATTGCACATGAAATTGTATTCTGGGAAAGTATGTAAACATTGGGCAGTAATTTTTACTTTCAGCATATTTTATACAAGTAAGCCGCTTCAGTCCTTCCATCATCTTCCTTTACCTTATGTTCTAGAAAGAACTGGGCAGGTATCGTGCTGTTCCATTTATTTCCCTTAGACACCTCCCATCAAGCAGTATATAGCCCAGGCTGCATCACACATTCTCGATGCAGTTTCCCGCGTTATCTCTGGGCTTCCACTGTCTTGCTTCATAATCAGTGTCTATCGGTTTTGCCAGGAATCGAGTTCTAAAATGCACCGGGGAAATCCTCTAGGGCACAACCATCAGACTTGAGTTTCATGAGCAGGAGGAATCTCGTTTGCCCCGTTCTGCATCCCTGACTTCTGTTCTTGCTCTTTCAGATTTACTACTGGAAGGCACAGGAGGGTTCACTTAAGAGAAACAGACGCCACATCGAGAAAAAGATCCTCACTTTCCAGGGCAGCAAGACACACGGCATGTTGCCCGGGCTGGAGCCTTTCAGCCACTACGCACTGAACGTGCGAGTGGTCAACGGGAAAGGGGAGGGCCCGGCCAGCCCCGACAGAGTCTTTAATACTCCAGAAGGAGGTAGGGAGTGGTTGCATCTCTGAGCTTCTAGAACATGTGGTGCATCCTGAGAGCCTCTGCATGACAGAAGAGGCCCCACAAAGCTGGCATAGTGTCCACTCCTAGGTGGCCTGAGGGTCCTTGGAAGGCTTCCCAGTACAAAGTGTTCCTCCAAATCCCCTCTCCTGCCTTAAAGTTTTCTCCACCCTTAGCCCCACTGTCAGAAACCTTGCTAATTTGATGTTGGTTGGGGTCATTAACTTTCTGACCTGAAGTGAGTTATGTAACTTCTGTAAGCCTCTGTTACTTCATCTGAAAAGTATGAGAACTCATGCAAGAACCTAAAACACCTGGCAAGAAAAATAATTCTGTAAGTCGTGGTTTACTTCCTTCCCCAGGGCGCCTTCATAGTTTATGCCAACTTTGAGCTGAGTTATGGGGCGCCTGGGTGGCTCAGTCGGTTAAGTGTCTGACTTTGGCTCAGGTCAGGATCTCACAGCTGGTGAGTTCGAGCCCCGCATCGGGCTCTGTATGGACAGCTCAGAGCCTGGAGCCTGCTTCGGATTCTGTGTCTCCCTCTCTCTCTGCCTCTCCCCCACTCGTGCTCTGTTTCTCAGTCTTTTGAAAATAAACAGACATTAAAAGAGAAAAAATTTGAAGTTGAGCCGAGTTAGAAGCCTTGACAAAATGGGTTGGGAAGACAAGGAAAAGCATGGCAAGAAGGGGCAAAGGGAGGAGGAGGGAGGATCAAATATGCATTGATTCAGGGGTGGGACATGAGGAGTTTGGATACAGGGACATGGGAGCCTGGTGAATGAGGGAGAGGGGGACAGGAGAGTAAGAAAGATAGGGATTCATGCATTTGAATTTTGCTTCAAGCCCATATTAAAAATGGATTCCTTAGGTCTTTTAGATAAAAGCAGTTTACAGGCAAACCCATCCTGGCTCCTGGTTGAAAGGCTCGTGATGTTGGCACCTTCCCAGCATTCTCTGAGGGCCATCCTGTGTCCCAGCTCCCATCTTGTTACAATTGCCTGTCCTTGGTTGGACTCATTGCTCCCTAGAGGTTAAAGACTCCTTCCTCTCTAGGCTTTTACTAGTGAGACCTCACGCGGCTGTTTGAGATGGTTCAGGGAAGGGGTCATAGTAGCGATGACCGGTGAATTAAAGGCTAAGGAAGAGAGGAGGTCTTGTGTCCATAGACACAATGGTGTGAAACAGCATGTCTCCTTAAGGAACTGCAAGTTGTGTATCCGGTAATGGTAAGAAAAGAGAGGAAGGTCAGCCAAGGAGGACCCGTATCATATTAACCTGTAAGCCAGAGGCTCTTAACCTGAAGACTACAGTCTCTTGGGGGTCAACGAATGGGTTTAAGGAGCTCCAAGAACCCCCTCGTTTTATATACAATATGTGTTTATTTTTCTGGGGGGAGTTTTTGGCTGTCATCAGATTATGAAAGGGGTGCCTTGGGGAAGCTTAGAACTGTGTGCCAGGAACCTTCTAGGCCCAGGCAAAGGCCACTGAAGGCCCCAAATGGGGCAGTGGCAGAGAGGAGAGCAGGGAATGGATGTGGTCGACCTGTACGAGGTGGAACTGACAGGATGTGGTATCCCAGGAGATGGAAGAAATGAGGCAGAGGGAGAGATTCAGGGTGACTCCTTGGTTTCAAGGGAGAGACTTGGTTCCAAGTCGGGGAGAGACAGTGGTGCCATTACCGGACTTAGGGAAGAGGGTGGGCATGTAGAGGAGGTAGGGACCGTGAGGGAGAGCTGCCTCCGTTTGTCATCCTCAGGAGGAAGTGACAGAGAGGACCAGGCGTGTTTCCTCTGGTAATTTGCCAGCCTCTGCCACAGGGAACCTGGGGGCCTTCCCAGAGCTAAGGGTCTGCCAGCTGTGTGGCTTCTGCCCATCACCATGAGATTCTGGGCGTCTGTCAGCTCTCCGGGTGAGAACCACTCTGCACCTGGGCAGGCTGGCTCATGCCCAGAGCCCAGCAGGCAGGGTGTCCTGGCTGCTTGGAGACACCTGGTTTGTTGGAGAAAAACAGCCCTTAATAGCCCAGAACGCAGCTGCATCTACTCAAAGGTCTGGTCAGAGTGGTTTGACTCAGTCACCCGTTTTGCTTTTATTAAGACACCATTCATGAGACAATTTCCGTCCCCTTTAAAAATACTAGTTCGGGGGCACCTGGGTGGCGCAGTCGGTTGAGCGTCCGACTTCAGCCAGGTCATGATCTCGCGGTCCGTGAGTTCGAGCCCCGCGTCAGGGCTGATGGCTCAGAGCCTGGAGCCTGTTTCCGATTCTGTGTCTCCCTCTCTCTCTGCCCCTCCCCCGTTCATGCTCTGTCTCTCTCTGTCCCAAAAATAAAAATAAATGTTGAAAAAAAAAATTAAAAAAAAAAAAATACTAGTTCGGATCCATTGAGAGGCAAAGCCTGTATGTATTGCGGAGGATGGTTTTAATGAGCCTCAGTGGAAATGACGAGAAAAAAGAGGAAGAGAATAGCTGAACGGGTTCTCATCACAGGTTTGTGTGAGTGTGTTTTCGGCAGGATTGGGAACAAGAGTGAGTTACAGAAAACCTTGGGGAATGGTGTGAATGTGGTACACTATGTCATTTTAACACATTTTGACACCTTCACAAACCTTCTCGTTGATTCCGTGTTCTCACTGTAAGTCCCCAGTGCTCCGTCCTCTTTGAAGATTATTAACCCGACGCTAGACTCCCTCACTTTGGAATGGGACCCACCGAGCCGCCCCAATGGCATTTTGACTGAGTACACCTTAAAGTATCAGCCAAGTAAGTTATTGGGAGAAGGGAAAGGGGGGAATATGGCTTAAAAAAGGAAAACAGAAAAGTAACTGTTTCCTTAAAATACAAACTGGTTATTTCTTTAATGCTGCACAATATATACGTACATACACCTTCCACTGGTATTCCAGAAGGAACTTCATTCACATCATACTTTTTTTTTAAATTTTTTTTTTTAACTTTTTTTTATTTTGAGACAGAGAGAGACAGAGCGTGAACGGGGAAGGGGCAGAGAGAGAGGGAGGCACAGAACCGGAAGCAGGCTCCAGGCTCTGAGCCATCAGCCCAGAGCCCGACGCGGGGCTCGAACTCACGGACCGCGAGATCGTGACCTGAGCTGAAGTCGGACGCTTAACCGACTGAGCCACCCAGGCACCCCCACATCATACTTTTTAAAGACACATACGCTATTGAAAATCAAGCAACCTGCAGAATGATACAGACCTTTGAGGGTGGGGTGGATGCTATTGTTAGATTAGGTAGGTATTGTCTATAATTAGAAAACAGTAAAAAGAAAAGGGTAGAAAGGAAAAAAAGGGGTTCCTTTGGTACAAGGCCTCTGCAGACGAGGTTTGGGCTTATCAATACATGATTCCACCTGCCAACTTACAAAATAAAGAAACGCTATTGCAACTTAGCTGTCAAATTCCCCTAGCTTCTATGGGGGATATATTTCCCCCTGTTCTGCCATATTAGAGGAGCTGTAAGTGGCTGAGTTATGTCAGGCAAAGAATAAATAGGATCACAAAAGTCAGTGTAATCCAAGTCTGACATTTTTGGTTGGCACACTTATTGACAATACTGTTCCTACAGAACTTCACGGGGAATGCACTTTTTCTTATTTCTTCTTGCCAGTCAACAGCACGCACGAGTTAGGCCCACTGGTGGATCTGAAAATTCCTGCCAACAAGACGCGCTGGACTTTAAAAAATTTAAACTTCAGCACTCGGTATAAGTTTTATTTCTATGCGCAAACAGCAGCAGGATCGGGGAGTCAAATCACAGAGGAAGCAGTGACAACTGTGGATGAAGGTAAGCTGGGTATGTATAACGTTCATGCCACTATGAGTGTCACGAGATAAAAATCTGTGACCTAAGTGGACGCCTTCTTCCTTCTTCCCACGGAGTATCTATCTTTCCCAACTAATGCAGACACCTGTTTGTGATTTCTCACCCTGACGTCTATACAATCAGTTATTTAATTCCTATAAGGATAACTATTTGATATTTGTTTCCCACGTCTGTGTGAAATTTTTAAACTTAGGTTAAAATGTCATTACAGCATTTTGCCACACATGAATTCAAAGTTCAAGGCCATGTTCTTTCCTGTCTACAACTTTGCATATATACATACACGCGCATGCGCATACACATACATGTGACATACAGATATGTGCACCCACTGACATACACATCTGTATACAAATAAATAAGTGTAATTCTAGTTCTGGTCTTGATTTGCCAGAAAATAATCTTCTAGGCCACATAACAATTTAGATTGTCTAGCAAGGAATATGAAACAGTTATTAAATAGCGCGTTTATTTTGTGTTTGAGCGTGGGACTTTGTATTCCGGTGTGCCATCTGGTCCAGAGAAAGCAAAATGGTCCCATTAGAGTCTCTAGAAAAGGAATTAATGCTTCCTTTCATATTTTAAAACATTATTTTGAAAAAAACAACAAAACAAAGATGAGATTCAGTGAAAATTACCAAAAACATTCTAAAAGATTTTCTGATTTTTGCACGTCTCTAAATTATAGAATTCCTTAAGGGTGATGTATTGGATCATCTTCCATAGCATGAGGAAATGATGTTTCTACCCAAACATTGGCTTGAAGTCCCCATTAAGACTTGTTACATAATAGACAGATATGAATAATGCGCCTTAAGTTGTGTATGGATTTGATTACTGGGTAAGCTCGGGGACACCAACGTATCTCTGTCCCGTGTACCTGACATGGTACACTTCATTCTCCTTGCATGCTTTGGCATTTTAATGAGTGTTTTTATATCGCTTTACATGCTCATGGGTGTGTTACCTCTAACTATATAGTGTCCTGTTTTTTTCTGTTTCCCTTCATTAAAGCTGGTATTCTTCCGCCTGATGTAGGTGCAGGCAAAGGTAAAATAATTCATCTGCATGACTTTATACATGTGTGAAATTTGCAATGTTAAACATGGCGAAGTGCAGCATGGGTTAAAAAAAAATGATATAAAATGAGCTTTGAAACACCAAACGGAAGAGAAGGTCTTAGAAGATCTTGGCTTTAAAATTAACGTCTAGCTTTGTTTACAAGTAGAAAGCCACACACTGAATTCTACTTACACTGTTTCTCAAGACCTATCCCTGGTCCAAACCCTGATCTTAGCTTCTAGCAATGTGACCGTGGCTGGGTCGGACGGGACCCAAACTGGGCATTGTTGCAAATCCTCCGTGTGGCCACACCACAGGTTCAGGGTTCAGAAATATTAGTCCTGCAGTGGAAACAGCCTGTAAGAACTCAGATCGACCGAGCTGCCCATTCTCACCTGATTTAGCTCTGCTCCTTATAGACACCGCGTACATGTGGCTGACCTTACACTACACCGTCCATTTGGACACCTTCTAACTGGCCCAGGAACCACAGTCTCCGACCACCAGGGCTCGCTCCGAGCAAGTCCTCCGGTCAAGCCCGCATGCTCCATTCCATCTTGTCTTCACCAAACTGCACGAGTCTCTTCCCCCTGGGGGATAGCCAACCTGTACTTTTGTTCTTCTCCGTTTCTCTCGGCTGTCTGGGTGAGAAAGGTTTGTTGGGAGAGCGGGACTCAAATGCCCTGTAATAGGTCTTCCACATGAGGCCCACAAGGGCCTCATTCTTTGGCCCTTGGTTATTGGTCGATCTGTTAGCTTTTCTTTCTTTTTTTTTTTTTAAGTTTTTTGTATTTATTTTGAGAGAGAATGCGTGCGCATGCACGTGGGGGAGGGGCTGAGAGAGCGGGAGAGAGAGAATCCCAAGCAGACTCTGTGCTGTCGTGCAGAGCCCATCGTGGGACTTGATCTCGTGACCGTGAGATTATGATGTGAGCCGAAATCAAGAGTCAGATGCTTCACCAACAGAGCCACCCAGGCACCTCGGTCTGTTAGATTTTTCATGAGCCCGGAGTCCCTGCCACAGGGCACAGTAATCACGTGGCATCCCCTGGCCAGGGCTTGCCTTGGACTTTGATACACTTGAGTGCAAATAGGGAAGAAGGAGACCAAGAGAAATAAGTGCTTTGCCTGAAAATACTCAGGTCTTGTAAGCGTAGGCCTGATACAGATCTCCCATGTTGGCAGAAATCTGCTTATATTCGTAGCCTTGGTAAATTGTAAAATGTAGATCAGATAGAGGTTGAAGTGACTGAATAAGAACTGTAGCCATTTTCAGTAATCTTAATAATGTCGTACGTGTGATTTTAGACTTGGAAGAACAAGGTCGTAAAAACTCAAATGTCCACAACACCGTAGAAAGATGGAGCTCTCTCTTTTACACGTAGGGGCGCCTTGCCTGGGATCGTTACATATCAATTAAAATCCTTGGTTGTGTTACAATAATTCTCTGCTGTGTTCCCCCGGTAACCTTCCATTGAAGCATTCCAGAGAAAGCCTGGCCTCTTTCCCCAGGCAGGGGACGTGCCCCTGGGGTTCTGCCTGGAGCCAGTAGCTGAGTAATTGTGCTATAACAGGGCTGTCTGGGAGGCTTAGTTTTCCACTGACTTGCCATGTTAGAAGAGGGGATGAGTTCCCGGGAGGTGGCTG